TCAGTAAAGGGGAGAATGCAGTTACTTTGCTCAAGTGCAAGGATGAAACCACCCTGCAATAAAAGTCATCCATTAGCAACTAAAATTGCAAGAAATCTGATTGTAAACAGGTCAAAATAAGTCACTTCTAAGGATCAGAAGAACCAGTTGGAGAAATTAATAGCATTTATACTGTTTGGACAAACAAGATGGAGGAGAAGCACAGCACGGACAGGAGCAACCATTAGTAACTGAAGAGCTTAAATGCAGAAAGAGGAGCTACTTGGAATGGTTTGAAGGAGATTAAAACAAGAACAAGTTAGATGAAAATTATGAAGTTAGACTTCCTGTGCAAAAATCAAGACTTACATCTGCGAGTCATTAATTCACAAGCCTCAACACAGAAAGCAACACACTCTCACAAGGTTCCTCTCTGTGTAAAGACACAGAATGGGCACAGGCAATCTGGTACAGCACCATTATAAAAACTTCTAATAATTGTTCTAATTATCTGCCTCTCACATGTACAGAGATGAGCATATAAAACAAAATCCATTCACATTGCTAATATTTGGTTTATGAGCTGGGCTTTGCTGTTACAAAGTGGCACAAGTATCACAAAAGCTGGCTTCATAAAGTAAAAAAAATAAATGTTACTTTTCTAGAACATTCAAAGGAGAAAGCCGGGAACAAGTACAAGCACGGGAACAGCTACCATTGAAAAAATTCTGTCCTGTACACTCAGCTTCATAGAGCCCTGTATGTTTGCTGTGGGCATCAATGGAAGAGTGAAGCAAGGGCTGTTTCCTGTCACAGACGCTGATGGTGCAGGATGGCACAGCTCTGCAGGGGAGGCAGGACTGGATGTCTCCACACAGCACTTGTAATTCACTCACTTTATCAACAGATGACGCTTGCACTGCCCTGCTGGGTCTCAGCACCTCATCATTTTTATGTCCTCAGATCATAGGAAAGTACCGCTATTCCCATGTTATTACAGACCAGGAAAATGGTCTGTATATGGAGCAAGAAGCTAGACACAAAATAAGCCACTAACTGCATCAACGTTATTTTCAGAACTCCCAGTCAGCTACAACCTAAACCTATGCAACACCCAAGTCCCTCCTTTCTTCCCCAGCATATATTCCACACTTAAGAAAACACCCTGACAAGGCTGATAACCTCAGGAAGAACATCAATTTCAAACGCACGAGGAAAAAAATAAATGAAACAACACTGGATGAAGCATCAGCAGACTCTAAGTCTTCACTCATCCCAGTAATCCTAAATAAAGTCCTAACCACTTGACTGAGACATCATGATTCCTCTCACTCTCTTTCTTAGGCACACTAAGTTTTGATTTTTCCTGGCATGGCAAAAAGTTTCAAGAGAAGGAAGTGACACTACTCTTAACTGGCCTGTGGCTTGATGATGAGAACACTCCCCAGGGAAGTAGGAAACTTGGACTGGAATCCCCCTCCTGCCCCTGGGACTCGGACATGATGTCACATCACCCAGCACTGCAACATCAGAGCCCCTTGTTGGTCTGGCCCTAATGGAAAGGCCCACAGCACAGACATCTATAGAACGAGAGAAAACCAAAGCCCAGCCTCTGGGCTCCTGGTTTCACACTGCTGTCTGCAGTGGACCATCTTCTCTTTCTTGACAGATGTCAAAGCTTGCAGGAACAAAGTGGCAGCCAGGAAGGCACTTATCTTACACTAGTATCTGCAACACCCTTTTAAAGGTAGATGAAATCCAAATTACTTGTTTTCCTAGACACCTAAGAAAGATGCAAAGACTCATGGCATTTTGAGCTTGTCTTCAGTGCACATATCTTACTTCATCTACAAAAACATGTTTCTCACATTAACGCAGAAACCAAAACACGACAAAGGTCCAGTATTACCCCAAATGTTAAGTTTTTCTAATTATGAGCTACCATACAGTCATCATTAAAACAAGTAAAATGGAAGATTCATGGCCTCTTGCACAAACATTTTTGAGAAGCATTTACTGTTTGTGTGCGAAGAGATTCACTTAAGAGCATTTAAATTACTACAGTATTAGTAGCAACTTTTATCATGGCAAATGATCTACAGAATGTTTCCTCTACACATCAGAGAAAACTATTTTACAAATCAGCATTTTATGAAACTGTGTAAAATAATACCAGAACTACAAAATATTCCAACTTAAGGCATTCCTGCTATGCCCACTAAGGTTCTAATGCCTGCAAATTGCAAAAATTTAAATCTTGTTGTTTCAGTACAAGGAGTGAGCAGAAGATGGAAGCCATCACACACATACAATACTGAACTTCTGCACACACAGACATGTCAAGACTTTGCTTCCCAGGCTGCCTTGACTAGATGAACAGCAGAACTTGAAATTCTACTAAAATCACATTTTATACATGCAGAGTAAAGCAGCGGGTAAGAACAACAGCATGGAATCAAAGGCTTAACATTTTTTGGGGGGTGGAGAGGATTAGTGACCTACAGTTGTTGTATATAATTTTAGAGACACTCATCCTGTTAACCTAGTTACAAAGCCAACAGTCAGTAGCAATTGAAGTCACAGTGGCAATAGTATTTTTCTATCAGGGCTCCAGAAGAGGAGATCTACATGAAGAAAACAAACACTCCCTCAAAGACTATGTAAATATCTCTCCCTCTCACAGAATTCTCAATACCAAATCACCTTTTGTTTCATTTCTCGTTAAGTTCTAAGACGTTTCCACTAGATACTTTCCTTACTTCCCTTAGCTATCCTAAAAAGCTTTTTTGCATTTATTTCCTTTTTTCTTCTTCCCCATTACAAAAAGAGAGAGAGAACACATATTCCTACATTATGGGCACCTAACAATAGTTCACTGTAAGTTGACTCCCCTTTTTCTCCCAATTCTTTAGTCCTTTCTCCTGCTGTAAGAAAAAAAGACAGAAAACAAAAAATGAAACATTTGTGATTCGTCAAAATTAAATAACTATCCATTTATGAGGGCATGGGCTTCCAGCAGGCTGAGGTGGGAAACCAGTTATATTCTCTCTGCCAGCCCTTTCCTAACATATTAGGAACAGCACCACTTCATCACCACAGGTTAAAAAGTTTAAGATAAAACCTAGTGCAACTACTGCACTCCTACAAGCACATCTTTATTCTTCTGCACAAAACCACACAACTCTCCCTCCCTTGGCTTCTTTTCCCCATACCTCATTTTGAAATCTCCAATTTTTCCCACCACTTCTGATGTTCCTGAGTCAGACACCAAAAATTCAAGGAGGTTTCAAATACAAGCATTCTATTCAGAAAGTATCCACAGCTTAAAACAAATAAACAAACAAACACAAACTTAAGCCTTGGCAATTATTTAAAGGAACTGTGCACCAGTGTACAGATACCTGAAACCAATGTGTAATGAGCAATCTTCACACATCATAAGATGCAGCACCTTCAACTAAAAAACACTAGCATAATAAAAAAAATCTAATGAAATCCACTAACTACATCATCTAAGATATAAGAGATCAGAATGTTTTATTTTTACAGTATTTATTCATACAAGGCCAGTTTAGGGTACAGGAGTAGATTTAAGTCATTCCTATTCTTAAATTGCCTTTTCATCTGAAAAAGAACTATGATCAGCTCCTTATCAATCAAAAACCAAGGTTTTTGGCTTTTTGTATTTTCAGCATTGCCATATCTACTATAGAACAGCTGGATTTCAGTACTAAAAAGCCAATCCTCTTCTCTCCTTAAGTGTTCATTATGGACAAGATCAATGCAAAGATCTAAGACATAACATGATCCCAAGATCATTTAAAAGACAAACTGTATTAACATGGACTAGTAAGACTTCATAAATAATCTTTGGTCACCGATGCTAACTACTGCCATCTTACTGAGTTTTCCCAGGTATCAACAGAAAATATGCTTACATGATACTCAAATTCTCTGAATCCATGCAAGAATGGCTTCTCAAAATTCGTATCACCCAACTTAATTGAAGGAGGACTTCAGGAAAGCCTAAAGACTGAGTCATTAATTTGCTTTGGTACTGAATGCAATTTATGATTCTATATTCTAGGTCCACCTATTATTAGAAAAACCTCACCAAGTCACATTTCAGTAAAACACCTACCATTCTTGTGCTGGAACAACCCAACTTTTATAACCCCCTAGTGCCGCCTGCTTGCAATGCCCAAGCTCATGATACATCAATGTTTCCGTTACCAAGCTCTATGACAAGGGGTTTCCCAGTGCAGCCATAAAAAACTGATTCCGTCCAAATGTTCAAGTATTTCTCACCTCAAATGAACAGCCTTCTCCCCGACCACCACAATAGCATTTGGACCTTAATCCATATGTGGTAGAAGCCAATGGCTCATTTAAAAGGACAACATGCAGTACATGCCATGGTGTCCCCAGTTCTGAACAACCATCAGTGTAGCCCTTTAATCCAGGCTTCTAGGCAAGTCAATAGCCATTTTAAATGCAGATTTTTACTAACTACTTCAAATTGTACTATTTTGTTTGTCTAAGCTAGACACTGCTAGTACACCTTTGCATCATGCACTGAACTCCTTTTCAGTCTATGAATGCAAGCTCAGATTAGTGCTCATTAATGCTACATGCATCCTATGGGACAAATCTGCAAGGAAAAACACACCATTCTACTCAAGAAATAGAAAACATATAAATCGCAATATACAGTATATAAAGCTCAGATCTAAACAAGCTAGAGAAGTCACAGACCCAAAGAGACAGCGTATTTGAAATTGTATCATTGGAACGTCCCACATTTTACTACTACAGAAACAGCAGAAGAGGAAAGATGCCCTAATGCGTGGTAAAGATCCACGCAGAGGAGCACATACAGTCTGTCACGTCACACACAAGCTCCGATGGGCAGAACATGAGATTATGCCTCTTAACATTAATACAATTTCTCCTGGTTTTCTGCGGTAATTCAAATCTTGGGCACTCAAATAAACAAATAAATCAAAACGTAAATGCCTTACCTTCCTATTTTACAAGCCACTGCAGTTCTCAGATTATGAGTCAGTCATAGGTTAATCTGCAGAGGAATGACTCAGTATAAACTTTTAAACATTCATTATTTTTTCTAACCTACAACACGGCGATTCATTCAACGCGCTAAAACGCGGCGTCGCGAATCAGCGCACGAAATGAATGGCGTGAAAACAAAACACTTTTCTTTCCGCTCACGGCAGGCAGACGGGGATAGCGCAGCGCCGGTGCAGGCAGGCGGACTTTGCGAAAATACAACTCCTTCCGCGCCGATGCGGGGCAGCTCCGGCGGCTCCGTGCACAGCCCCATGGCCGGGGAGCGGCGGGGGCTCCGCCGCAGCGGCAGCCGGGGGGACGCGCAGCCGGGACCGCGCTCCGCGCCAGGCGCGGCGCTGCCGGCAATGCCCCTTTAAAGGCCGTCGGCCCGCCCCCAGCACTGCATATGGAGGGAGCCAGGAGCGAGCGAGCCTTCTGCATTCAAACGACACATCAAACGCCGCAAGCACCGCCGCGGCTCCCGGCTCCGCTCCGGCCTCGCCTCCCTCCGCTCCCCGCACAGGCACACACCCCGCGGGGAACGGGGCGGAGAGCGAGAGGAGCAGGGGAGGGAAGGGGGAGGTAGGAATAAGTAAGCGAAAAGGCGCACCTGCAAAGCCCTGGAGTGCGAGTGCGTCCGGGCAGGAGAGTCCGCGCCGGCCCGCCGCAGGCTGATCTATCCCCGGGCACCGGCCGCCGCCGAGGTCCCGGCACGGGCTGCGGCTGCAGCGCGCTCGGCCCCTGCCTGCCAGCAGATGCCCCGGTGAGCGCCGTGCCCCCGCCGGAGCGCCCCCGGCTCCCGCCGCCCGCCCGGTCCCGTCCCCCTGCGTGGAGCGCCCGAGCGCGGGCAGGCGAGCGCGGCCGGTGCCGGAGCCCCGCGCGGGAGCCGCCGCCACGGCGGCAGCGAAGCTCCCGCCCTCCCTCCTCCTCCTCCGCCGCCGCCGCCGCCGCCACCACCACCGCACAGCCGAGCCCAGCCGAGCCCCGCGGCCGCCCTACCTGCGAGCGTGTGCGCGGAGCGGAGCGGGGCGGCGGGCGGCAGCTGGAGCCGGGCGAAGGCGACCGCCAGCCCGGCGGAAAGTCCCGACCGCTGTGCGCCGTCTCCCCCCGCCCCGCACTTCCTCTCCCGCCCGCTCGGGCTGGAAATCCCCGGCGAAGCCCGCTGCTCTCCCAGCTCCTCCCAATCACCGAGGGCGGGCCCGGCACAGCCGCTCAGCGCGCAGGCGGCAGCCGGGGGCCGGGCTTGCCCTGGCCGCTGGCCCCGGCTGCACCTGATGCTGCTGTCACCCTCCTCCCGCGGGCACCGCTCGGCCGAAGGGGCCCCGCGCCCGGCGAAGGAGGCGCGGGCTGGGCTGCGGGGGGCGGCGCGTCCCGCTCCGGGCGCGGGGTGGTGCCGGCGGAGCCGTGGGGGCTCGGCCGGGGGGCGGGAGCTGCTGCCGGGCACCGAGGGAAGGAAGGGCGCGGGGGATGGCGCCGGGACGCGGGGTCCGGGAAAGCGGGATCGGCGCGGCGGAGAGCCGCTCGCTTCCCCTGCCTGTCCCGAGGGAGGTGCAGCAGTCCCGCTCAAAGAAGCGCCTCGAAAACAATAGCGTATATTAAACAAAGAAAATACCACTGGGAAGAATGGGAGGGAGGAAAAACGGCAGTTGGGAGGGAGAGAAGGGTCTGGAAGAGATCCATGAAAGAGCAGCGAGCCAGAGCCGATGGTCCCCCGGGAGCGGCCGGTCGGGGCGCCCCGGCAGCCGCCGGCCGTAGGTGCCAGCCCCGCGTCCTGGCAGGGGGCAGGGGGCAGCGAGTGTTCCCTGCCCGGCGCCCCGCGCACCCGCGGCCCCTCCGCAGGCGACCGGAGAAAGGGGGCGGCGCTGGCAGCACACAGAACCTGTCGCTCCCGGCAGCCAGGTGAAATAAATGCCTGCGTCGTGCTCCGCTAGCATCGCGGCGTGTCCCGACCGGGACATTTGTTCCGCCTGTGCCGGCGGTCTCGCTTTTACACGGGGCATCGTTGGCTGTCCTGGCTTGTCGTGTCCCCGCCGCCTCACCGGGCTGCGGAGAGAGGGAGGGAGGCAGAGAGGCGGCTCTGGCGCAGAAGCGGCGCGGGGGCTCAGCCGGAGCCGGGAATGCCCGGCCTGAGCCGGGGATGGGGGCTCAGCTGGAGCCTTGCTCCAGGATGGGCTGGAGGAACTGCCCCACAGGGACCTCCGGACCCCTGGGTGCAGCGATGGGGCTGGCAGCCGGGAGAGCCGCAGCTCTGAGGAATGTGCAGAGCTGAACACGGAGAAATGTGTGGTGTTTGGCTAATTTCAGTGAGATGAGGTCACCGTCCTTTTTGGACGTTGTTTATCGAGGGATCACTAGGGAGGAACAGTTGGATGCGTGATCCTGAACGGACAAGCTTTGCGTCATAGTTGCCGCTTGCAGCATCTCCACTCGTCCCGAAATCCATCCTGACCCTCCTCGGTCTTCATCCCCCGGCTCTCCGTAACGCCCACGCCACGTTGCCCTGCAAAACTAAACATCTCTAGCTCCGGCACTGTCCTCACCAGCCTCTAAATCACGAAGCTTGGCCGCACTGCTAATTCCCTCCTGTGTGCTGTTTTCTTCTCATCCCACTTCTCTGCTTTCTCTCTTTCCCCCTCTCTCCCGCCTTTGCTGCTGTTCCCAGTCAAAGGTGGCTTAGCTGTCAAGACAACTGCGGCTTTTGAAACGATGAACCTGCCATGAGAAAGTCTCAGACGGATGTCTTACATGTTCTCATCACTTGTTCAAGATTGCTTCGCTCTGGACCGGCAGAAAGGATTGCGCACCAAGCCTGGATCTCTCCAGCAGCAGGGCTGCAAATAAGTTTCTATCAGAGACAAACCTGCAATTTCCTCCTTTGCCACTCTTTTTGCTGCTGTATATGTGTCCTCTTGTTTTGTCCTAAAAGAAAAAGAAAAAAATGGAGACAACATAATAGGATTCCAGTGCCTGTAGCTCTAGCAGCTGTACTAATGTATTCTTCCCCAAAAAGTGAAAACAAATTCTTGTTTTAATTACCATTTAAAGATGTCAGAGGCCTTTCCACATTAAAAAAAAAAAGTCTGTTGACAAAGGGATAAAATGATGATTTAATTAAATACCTAGCATTTCAATTGCTTTTTCTTTTTGATTTTTCCATATTGTGACTCCAAAATTTTAGAGATTTCTAATACAATTAATACAGCAAGATATGTCACCAGTGTTTAGTCTTTAAATGGTTTGGAATTTTGTGTTATAAGCAATGTTTTCTCTGAGGCTTAAAGTCTTGTCTCAAGGCTGCTGTGATATGCTGAACACTTCTGCTTGGCAATAGTGTTTAGAATATAGTCATTGGAGAGCTACTTGAAACACAAGAAATTATACTGAAGTCCTTGGAGTAGCTCCATATTTTAGTAAATTGTTTGAAGAAATAAAATAATAGTGCATTACATTGGAAAATCACCTGAGAGGAAAGGGTAACAAGAGAAGAATACCAAGAGAAGAATAGTAATCCCTTACAAACTTGGACAGGGGCACTTATCTCCAAAACTATTTGGAAGACATAGAAGAGCAAATGGCATGTGATTATGGGAAACTAATTTCTCAGCTACAGACTAGAAGGTACCACTGGGAACCGGTAGGGCTTAAATGTTCTGGAGTGTTGTAGAAACTCGATTTCTCAGGCAAACAGTCCATGAGAGAGGATGCTATTTTAGGACTGGTATTAATAAGCAGCAAGGACCTTGTAGAAGGCCAGAATGTTGAAACTGATCATGAACTGAGTGATCACAAACTAATCCAGCTGAAGTTAAACTGCAAGAAGGACAAATGCAGATATTTGACTAAGATTTGGGACTGCAGAACAGAAAATTTAGAGAAATGGGGAAAATTCCTGAGACTGACATGATGGATGAACCCAATGATGATTTTTACGTAGAGATATTGGAAGAAGCAGCGAATAACAACTGCCAAAGCAAGGATTTGTTCAAGGTTAAAAAGGCTAGAAGCAATACCCTGTGCCTAAAACACTGTAGTGAGAGAAGGAGGGCAGTGATGCTGGTAGCCTTGGGTTTACTGCTCTGACCTTACTATGGGGGTGAGTTCCTCCATGAGAAAATGAGCTGCCAGCAGAATGGCTATGGAAAAGACTCACTTGAGTCTATGATGCACAAAGCATGGTATTTTTAGTAGAGAGAGGAAAGTATTAACATGGCTTTGCACAGCACAGCTGAGGAACCTTGTTTGGAAAATTGCGTCCAGTTCTGGTGACTTACGGTCAGAAAAGATTGACTCAGGTTGCCACAGGTGCGGAAGAGGAATTCTGGGGTGGCAAGGGAGCAGAGTATCTGTATTCTTGAATGGGAGCTGCAAACAAGCAAGCAGACTTAGCTTCCTGAACTAGCCAAATTAAGCCAAAATAGTGCAATTCACACAGTAAATATCAAGGAAAGAGTACTATTTAGATTAAAGGATTATGTTAGCACAGTGATGCATGGCCATAAATTGGTTGTGAGTATACTTAGACTGAAAAGCTTTCTAACCATTCCAAGAGCAAACAAACAGCACTCCAGGAACAAACACCTACACAATTTTAAATCAGAGCATGATGCTTTGTTGTGTCCAAAGGGGATTTGAAGACGACAGAGCTGCTGACCTTTGACATTATACTGTAATCATTCCCAAGTTTCAGGCCTACTTCTGGTCCTCTGTCCCATCTACATTTGGCTTGTGAGGTTTTTTTCAACTGCCTCTGAGGCACTGGAAATTAGTCAGAGACAGGATGTAGAAAGGGCTGGTGACATTAAGTCATCTGGTGGTTTGTGGTGGATCTTGCTCACAGCCATACTGTGATGGTCAGATTTGTGTCACCACAAAACCTTTTCCCTCAGGTGAGCCTGGTAAAGGACTGTTTTGTGTTCCCCCTGCCACCTTCTCAGAATCCTCTGGGAGAGTTTTTTGGTAAATATCTTGTTGCATGGGTACTGGTTATGGTCTTCTCTGATATTGTACTTGAGA